AAGTCACTAAACTCCTGAAGGAAAGAACTGTTTGGACCAGGTGGACGATAGACCACAGCACAGTTGAACGGGTCCTTATGCCCGACTTTAATCAGCTGCAGTTCAAAGGAAGCAAAGTGACCAGAGGTTGTAGAGCTACATGGAAGATGGTCTCTGAAAACAACAGCTAGGCCTCCACCATGACCAGAACCCCGGGGCTGGCTAAGAAAAGAATAACCACTCGGGCAGAGTTCAATCAGAGCCGAATAATCAGATGTTTGCTGCCAAACTTCAGTCAGAAACAGAAAATCCAGGTTTTTAGAGAGAATTAGATCATTGAGCAGGAAGGATTTATTGTTAACAGAGCGGGTGTTCAATAGGGCCATGCTGAGTGAGGAGGAGGAATCAGAAACTACAGAAACAGCTGGAGTTAGTGGACGTAAATTAGCAGGGTTAGATCCACGGTGTTTATAAAAACCACTTATGGAGGGAACAGGAGGAGAAACCACTGAGGAATGAGGATAAACCGACCTTAAAAAACTTGGGACGGATGAACCGCGTACCAATGCGGCCTGACGGGAATGCGGAAGTGGCGCTCAGGTCACCAAACAAAGGACAAGAAGCTAGAAGATCGCGCCGATGTTTACCAGATAAACCACGCTTTAAGAGAAGTCTTATTCTCACCTGGATTCCTGCTTGTTCACCTCTTTTCCTCCGACGTTTTCCCGGGACAGGACAAACATAGCCAGAGGCGGGCTGCTCGGGACCGTCGTTTGGCTCCGGGCCAGTGCGCCACTCAGGTAAACAAACAGGATGATACGTCCTCGGTGCATCTTGGGCGATCGTGAATGAACGGAAGGACAGAAGAGTCTGGCGATCATAGGAGATGGTAGCAGAGATACTACTGAAGAGGATCGCAGACAGGAGCAAGAAGGAAAAGAGGAGGTTAGTGGAGAAAAGTTTGAAAAAGTGGACGGTGACTGCGGCTAAGCCAAGCACAGGCGCCATCTTGTTGCCAACCGGAAGCGGAAGTGACCGTGAGACTGGGTATGCCTATCAGGAACTGCTCTGGAGTGGTTCTCCTCTTATCTTTCTGAGCGTTCCTTTTCTGTGGCCGTCTCCAAGTGTAGGTCCTCTACCACCTCCCTTACCCATGGTGTCCCACAAGGTTCTGTGCTGGGGCCTCTGCTCTTTCTCCTCTATCTGCTCCCTCTTCAGCACATCCTGAGCTCCTTCAAAGGAATCCCCTACCATCTTTATGCAGATGACATCCAACTGCACATCTCCTTTAAGCCCCATGAGATGTCTAAGCTGCAGCTGTTACACACCAGTTTAGACTCTATCAAAACCTGGATGGCTGGGAGCTTTCTACAGCTGAATGAAGATAAGACTGAGATCCTCATCTGTGCCCCAGACAAGCTGGTTCCCAAAGTCAGAGACTCTCTTTGTCAGCTTGCTTCTCACACCAAACCTTCCGTCAGGAATCTTGGCGTGACCTTTGACCCAGATCTCACCCTGGATTCTCATGTCAGTTCTCTTGTTCGCTCTTCCTTCTTCCATCTCAGGAACATTGCAAAGCCGAGTCCCATTCTGTCCCGCTCTGAACTTGAGACAGTTATCCACACCTTCATCTCCTCACGCTTAGACTACTGTAACTCTCTTTTCACGTGTCTGAGCAGAACCTCCCTGAACCGTCTGCAGGTGGTTCAGAATGCCTGTGCTCGGCTTCTGACCAAGTTCTCCAAACACACCCACACCGCTACTCCTCCAGCTTCATTGACTGCCAGTCAACTTCAGGGTTCATTTCAAGATCCTGGTTCTGGTCTTTAGGGCCTTACACGGACAAGCACCATCTTATATTGGTGATCTTCTTAGTCCCTACACCCCCAGCAGGTCCCTGAGGTCCAGTGATACAAGCCTACTGGTTGTGAAGCACAAGACTTAAGACCAAAGGTGACAGATCATTTGCTGCTGTGGCCCCCAGACTCTGGAACTCTCTCCCCCTGAGCCTGAGATCAGTGGACTCAGTGAACTCCTTTAAAAAACAGCTGAAGACTCACTTGTTCAAGCTGACTTTTGTATGACCTTCTTCACCACTCTCTCTTTATTCTGCTCTCCCCACCTATTCCACCTTCCTCAGGATCCACTGATTTCCCTCTTTCCTATTCACTCTCTCTCTTTCTTAACATTTTTTCTTTTAAATCGCAGTTGCTTATTCTTGCTCATTTTAAATATATTTTTAAACATTTTCTAAATGCTTTTTTATAATTTTACAATTTTTATATTTTTTGTTTTTGTTTTTGTGAAGCGCCTCGTGATTTTTATTTTGAGAGGTGCTATAGAATTGATATTTTCTTCTTCTTCTTCTTCAAACACACATTGTTAATCCTACGCTAAAAAGACACCAAAACGTTATTAATACTCTAAACCAATACCTCATCTGCATTCAGCTCAAAGTACATTCCTTGTTCAACCTTCTGTCATGCTGAGAGCAGGAGGTTAGGACCCAAATTGCAGAACACCAGATCACTCGAGGCAGGAGTGGTTGCTGAAAGTGAAATCCTTTATTTAGGATGATGGGTGAATATCCCAAGGGGCAGGAAGCCAAACCAAAAATCAGAAAAAAAACTAAAGTACAAAGTAAAGCTCATTCATCAAATCAAAGATACTTTATTAATCCCAGAGCAAGACCCTGGAGTTCCTGAGGATGACAGAACAACGCTGACAAATACAATGGACCAACAAACACTGAGGGAGGGACAAGACAGGGTTTTTAAACACAGAGGGAAGCAGTCAGAGGAACAGGTGAAACGTGTGAGGAGTGAGGTCTAGAGGGAAGTCAGGTGTCATCAATAAACTAAATGGGGGGAAAGAACTAAGCAGGGGGGAAGATAAACCATAACCTATAAAACACTAAATAACTAAACCAAAAGACTAAGGGCAAAGACAAACAACTAATAACTAGAGGGGTGAGGAGGACTAATACAAAATCAAATAGGAACTACCAGGGGGTGACTAGGAGGAAACATGAGGGAAGCCTAGAGAACACAAGGAGACACAAGAGGAGAACCTGGAGTGAGAACAGGAGGGTGCTGGGGACCAAAGGGACACAGAACACGGCACCTTCAGTCCTGCTCATGCTTCACAAAAAGGAAACTTTCAATTAAAAATACAACCTTTATTTAACTAAACCAAAGCAAGGCCAGGTCACCCACCACTGTCTTAGCTGCACCCACATCTGTACACAAGGAGAGGCATTCGGCTTTCTTCCGCTAGAGCCCAACCCGCACCAATTATAGCGGCCTCGTAATGAAACACCTGGCTCGGCGGCACTGCACCTCCATCCAGAATTACTTCCGGTTAGGTTGTTGAATTTGCTGTGTTTTAATCCAGAGTTGAGTTGTTGGCTTTGAAGCAAACACAAACTCAAATCCTGCTTGGAGGGTTCACAAAAATGCCAAAATACTTGTGCATTTGGCCAGAAAGTGAAAACTACGTCCTTCTGCCATGCACAGGGCTCGCTTATGTCAGGTCAGCAGAACATCTGAGCACCATTCTGTCAGGTTTCCAAATCAGATGCCTCATCTCTTACAATTATGCATCTAAGAATGTTATTGGCAGAAATGTGGAGATCCTGAAGCACCAAAGACTTCAGTCACTTGATAATACAGATCCCTATGACATGCCAACAAATCTTCACACGTGTATTGTCTTTATAAATATGTGACAGGGTGATTGTCACTGTATCCCGATCGATCATGCGCCTGGCTGCTTGGCCAAGGGGATGTCCCTTTGGCTGACTGGTCAGCACGTGTGAGTCTGGGGATCAACTCCTGCCCAGGCCCTCATTTCTGCACTCTGCCACAATTAAACTAAGGACACATTCTCAGATGTATGGGTTTTAAGCTATTTTGTTTGGCAAACATGAATTGATGCAACACAGCTTTGTTTGTTGGACTTAAAATTAACAAAGCAAACTGCATCCCCACTGTCTGGATTTGGTCATGACAGGCTGAAGTTAAGTTCATGGTCAAATCAGCCAGTAAAGAACTACTTATTAAACGGCAGCTGTCCAAATAAAGTGTTGCATAACACACAAATCCCCCTTTTTAAAGTAATCTCATTTGTGCTCATCAAATAATCTGCTCATGGTGCTCCATGTTTCACTCCTCTTTGGCTCCCACAAGTAGAGAATAATATGAAAACTCAGCATGTTCACACAGTATATCATTGCCTCTGTCTTTTGGAGGGTTTTTACATTACTTGACAATTAAATAATTGGTACTGGACAATCTTGGTCCAGACTGACAGCATTTAACACACTTTCTCTCATGCAGGGGTGTCATATTAACCTCAGCTGTATTTTAAATAAACTTCAGCAATAGTAAAAGGATGATATTAACTACTGGGGATGACGATAATATTTGTGTCTCTCATGAGACAGAGCATGGGGGGTGGGGGGGTGTTGCACTTCATTCAAACTTGTTTTAATAAGGTGAGACCTTTTCCTCCCCTTTTGCAGAAAAAACATCACAAAATCAACTACAGAATGTTTCATTCAAGACTAAATCTATATCAGGGGAAGCACATTATCCTATTTCAGTTGCACTTTCATGCTTGGACTTCAAAGTCACTTTTACAGTTTTTGCATAATTCTGGCATCAGTGATTAGATAAGTACAGAAAATCTGAATTAAGCATGAAAATGCACAGGTACAATCCTGACAGTTCAAAAGGGTCAAACCTACCTCACACAATCATTAACTCGGTTGCAGGACTATTTTTCTGTGTCTCTTTCAGTGTTTTCATACGATAAAAGCCCTTCTTCTTATCTGATGCAGAGTTTGCAAATGGTGATGCCTTTCATCTAGAATCACTTTCTGGAGCTTCTCAACTTGCACCATCCCAGGAATGTGGAGAAAAAAGAAGAAGAAAAAATTATGAAGTGGTGTTGGACCTTGCTACATTGAGAAAAAAAGATTTTTTTTCTAATCAACATGAACCTTAAGCTCTTGTGTTAGGTAATGTTGACTTTGTATGCAAGGTACGTCAGCCAAACTACAGCTTCAAATACAAGAATGACTACATTTTTACATTTTACCTTTTTTACCAAGTATGTTAAAATTTTAAACTTTAATTGTTAAATTTGTGTCTGAAGCTGATTAAATTTTATCTGGTGAAACTTAAAAGAGATTAATAATAAACTGTGCCGTTGAGTCTTGCAGTACTTTAATGTACAACATATCGAACTAAAACATTTGCAAAAAAATCCTCAAAATAAATACAAACTGCAAAAACACAAGAAGTAGCTGCAATTTACCTATAACTATGACTATTGTAGTATTTTTATTGCATTTTGTTGTACCGGGTGATTTTTAAAGGTTGTGTAACCAGAATACCTGTTTTTGTTTTGTGACAGGCTACAGGGGATTGATGCATTTGATTGCATGTGTTGCACTAAACAAAGTAGAGATCAGTTGATGAAAAAGTCAATTGTCCTGTCATTCATTTCTTCAACCACAAACAGAAGCACAGTGCAGCTCAATACAACAGATTCCAGGCACAATAGAAAATTAAAAGGACTGTGATTTAAAACATTAAAATAACTTTTCTGCTCTCCTGGTTGCTGTGAATTTCCATTCTGTGGAAATTTCAGACGTGCTGTGTGATACTCCTCTTTTCCTGTGTATCAGTGCATCAAAGTACACAGGCACATGCATTGAGAAACCTGAGTAAACTGTGGTATTTTATCTGAGGGCCAGGTCCAGTTGGGTCCAGTATAAAAGCCTCAGCTCCCTCCCAGACAGTCTGCTCTGCCGCTCAGATCAGGAGACCCACACACACACACACACAGACCATGAAGCCTCTCCTCCTTGTGGCGTTGTTCGGATGCCTCGGTAAAAAGGACTTTTGCAACCATCACGTGAAGTTTTAATTATGATATTAATCCATGCTTTAAAACTGTCTTTTTTGTTTGTTTGTTTTTTTGCAGCCACCGTCTTTGCAGCCCCTGCAGAGACGGTGAAATGGTGCGTCATTTCGGAGCCAGAATTACAGAAATGCACAGAGCTTGCAACTGCAGCTTCCATCTTCTCATGCGTAAAGAGGGAGAGCCCTCTTGATTGCATCATTGCAATTAAGGTAAAGATCATCATCATTTATTTCTTGCACTAGTTTAGAAAAAACATGCATTCAGTGTTTGACCTTACAAGGCTGTATATATGAAAAGTTGTTCAATGTTAAGTAAAATTGGCTATTGCTATAGATCCGAGTATGTTTCCTGAATGCACTTGTAATAAATAAATGTCATTCCTTATCTGTATGAGTAAGATTCAACCTTTTGAATCCTGTAAGGTTATGCACATATTTTAAAAGGCCCTACTTCTTAAGAATAAAACAGTCACTCTGTCAAATTAGCTTCAGTGAAACAGTACACTGAACAATAACAAAATACGTTGCTTATTGGGAGAAAAAACCCACCTAAATTGTGCTTTTTCCAACAGGCCGGTGAAGCAGATGCTATCACAGTGGATGGAGGGGATGTTTACACGGCTGGACTGAACAACTACGACCTGCATCCCATCATTGCTGAGGAATATGGCGCCGGTATTTATGCAGCCGGTCAAACAAAAGCAAACCGATGACTAAAGCATTTTTTCTAACCCTACTTCATTTCTTCATTTCTACGCATACAGCTTCAGAAACATGCTACTATGCAGTCGCCGTGGTGAAGAAGGGAACTGGATTTGGCATCAGAGACCTCCGAGGGAAGAAATCTTGCCACACTGGTTTAGGGAAATCTGCAGGCTGGAATATGCCCATTGGAACTCTGGTGGCCCAGGATATAATTCAATGGGCCGGCATTGAAGACAGAAAAGTGGAGGAGGGTAAGTTTTCAATCTTTTTTATTTTTAGTTTGCAAAAGTAAAAAAAAAAGCAGAAGACTTAAACATTTCTGTTTATCGGGCTGCATGTTTTACCTTTTTGATTTTCAAACCCAAAGAAACAAAGATGATACAAATAAGATGAATAAAGTAAGGCTGGAATAGAAAAACTCGGCTCACTACTACTAAATTTGTCCTAAAAGTTGACAAAAAAATCCCTTTCTCCCATGTTGCAGCGGTGAGCAGCTTTTTCAATGCCAGCTGTGTCCCGGGGGCAGAGCGCAGCTCCGGACTCTGTAAACTATGCAAGGGAGACTGCTCTAAGTCCCAAAGGGAGCCATACTATGACTACAATGGTGCCTTCCAGTGAGTAAACCAGATTCTAACTGATCTCTGATATCCTTTACACATCCTCCTCTGCCTTTATTCATTGAAGTTTGTTTCCCCTTTATCAAAAATTCTCTTCTGGATTAAACACAAATACACTTCTTACAGTAATGCAAGCTGCTTTATCAAACAGGTGTCTGGCAGATGGAGTTGGAGATGTGGCTTTTGTCAAGCATCTCACTGTACCTGGTCAGTGTCTACATCTACATCATGAAGCAATGCAACACAGTTCATTTTATGACAAATGTCCTTTTTGACATTTAAAATTTGACTTGAATTTTTTAATATTTTTTTTGCATAAAATGTAAAGCAGGGAGGATGGTGAAACTTTTTGTTTGGATACATTTATTGATTAATAAAAGCCAAATTGCTTCAATTTTACTCTCGTAGATTCCGATAAAGCAAACTATGAACTGCTGTGCAAGGACAACACCAGACAATCTATTGACAACTATAGATTGTGCAACCTGGCCAGAGTGCCAGCTCATGCTGTGATTTCCCGAAAGGACCCACAGCTCACACAGTTAATCTGGAACAGCCTCAGTGGAGTACAGGTAAAGTAACAAAGACAGAAGAAACACCATTAACTGTGATGTACGAAACATACTCAAATGGAATCAGAGAGATTTCCACTGGCTGAAGTCATTGTAATTTGGTTGGTCTGATGTCATTTTCAGAACTTCAACCTCTTCTCCTCTAAGCCACCTTACAAGAATCTGATGTTCAAGGATTCAACCCAAAAACTGGTGAAGCTGCCTCCAAATATGGACTCCTTCCTGTATCTAGGTGCTCAATACATGAGTATCCTCAGATCACTCAAGAAAGGTAAAAGCAAGCAGACACAAAGATGCAACGAGCATTAAACCCAACTGAAAGAGTGACTTGCACCTGACTTGTGTTCATTATTTACTCCCTCAGAGCAGACCCCAGGTGTTGCATCTCCTGCTATTAAATGGTGCGCTGTGGGCCATGCAGAGACAGCAAAGTGTGACACGTGGAGCATCAACAGCTTGACCGGAAACAGCGCCTCCATTGAGTGCCAGAACGCCCCAACAGTTGACGAGTGCCTGAAGAAGATTATGGTAAAATCTGATGGAAAAAGTGTTTCCAAAATGAATGTATGGAGGTAGGGGTGTGTATTAGCAAGAATCTGGTGATATGATATTTATCACAACTCGGAGGAGCCGATATGATATTCAGCAATACTACAAATCAGACAGTATTTGCAATAGGGAGTCACGCACTTCTACTTCTGCACCACAAGTCTCCATAAGAGCAAATGAATGAATGCAAGTCCATGGGCTATAAGAGCTATTTCATACTCCAAATTTGTTATGTGCCATGGATTAACATATGATGTCAGTGAATTTTAAAAACACACTCTGATGCCAAGAAAATGCTTCTTTTGAATGACGGCAAAGTTATTTTAGGTTTGTGTGAAAATACGCCCAGGACTACAAATGTGCATCACTAAAATGAAGTAATTGAACCAAACAAGGAGAAAAGCAGAGGAAAAATGGTTTTAAGATCAGGTGAAAAGAACCACCATAAATCTTGCCATATCGTAAGTAGCAACTACGCTAGGGCATAGGAGAGTCTGTGGTGATGTCATATATGCGATGTGCCGACGTATGATTTGTAGTCATGGTAATTAAAAAATTTTACAAGCTGATAAATCTCAAAATACAAGATAATAATGGTTGAAACACACATCATTAATTTTCATTTACATTGAAGTACGGCATTTGTGAGATTCAGGGCGTAAGGTGAAGCGAATTATAAAATAGCTTTATAATGCCTGTTCGCTTGCATTCACTTTTGCTTTTCCGGGGACCCGCAAGTCGACCGAAAAGGGAGGAGATTTAGGTTCTGTGTTCTTAAAATGGAAATTAATTGGAAAACTCAGGTCAGATGCTTACAAGACACATCCAGTTTTATTGTAAGTTGTTATTGTTACACCAGAATGAAAACTGCTGCCACCTAGCAGTCAGAGTTTGAATTGCACCTCACAAAATAATTACAGTAAATGTTTGCGTGTACATTCGCAATAAAAAAATGATACTCCGCTTTACATTTCAATTCAGTAGGGAAGTGTGTTGGTGAAATTCCAGTGATACGATACGTATCACAATACAGGGAAGACAATATGATATATCACAATATGTTGCGATACATTCAGCCAGGCCATAAAAGCGATTTTTTTAGACTAAATTTATTGTAGGAAAATTTAACTTTCCAAACTGAAGAAAGAAGAAGAAATTATTTTTTATGTAGCGCCTCTCAAGATAACAATCACCAGGCACTTCACAAAAACAAAAATAAAAATTTAAGTATAAAAAGATTTCAAAAATGATTAAAAGTGTGTTTACTGTTTAAAAAATAAACTACAAAAATGTCATATGTTTAAAAATATGTTTTAAATATGTTTTCTGATACATATCATGTTTTACATGATATATCTGAACCATAATGAAGGGATTTAGATTTCAATGGTGGAAACAAAACCCATTGAACATTGCTGCCATCTAGCGGTCTGCGTTTGAATTGCACCAAAAGAACAGGGGGAAAAAAGCACAAATGTTTGCATGTACAAGCTTCCTAAAATTTGATACATGGCTTTTGAATATCGATATAATATCGCAGGAAAAAATTAATCACGGTATATTGCCAAATTGCTATTTTCTTTCATCTCTACAATTCATTATCATAAAGGTAGCGCGACTCGGGTTGCGAATGACCACAGTCACCAATTCTTGTCCTGGTCTCAGAATTGTGTGTATTGAAACTCTTATTTCCCTCTGGGATTAATAAAGTATCTTTGAATTTGAATTGAAAACAAAACATTGCAAAGTTTCAGCGTGTAGATATTTTCTTACATCCCTATAGAGGCATCAGTTTGTTTGTGATCCCTGTTTGATTTGTTCTGCAGCGTAAAGAGGCAGATGCAATGGCAGTGGATGGAGGACAGGTTTACACAGCTGGAAAGTGTGGTCTGGTTCCTGCCATGGTGGAGCAGTATGACTCAGGTATAACACTTAAACAATGGATAAACAAAAATTTAAAAGGCTTTATCCAATGTTCATTTGTATGTTCTTACAAATTATTGCATCACGTTTTCTTTTCTCCACAGCCCTCTGCGGTTCTTCTGGAGGTATTGAACCCATCTTCACGCTTTAACAACAGACTACTCATTTTTTTATCAACTAAACATGCTTTTTATGCTCTTTTCTCAGCTGCAGCCTCCTCTTACTATGCTGTTGCTGTGGTGAAGAAGTCTTCCGGAGTGACCTGGGCAAACCTGAAGGGAAAGCGATCCTGTCACACAGGCTTTGGCAGAACTGCTGGCTGGAACATCCCCATGGGTCTCATCTACGATCAGACTAAGGACTGCGACTTCAGTCAGTGACCGATTGTTTCACTTTCATTTGCATCAACTGATGGGCTGTTTGAGTCTGACAGCATATCTTCTTCCCTCCAGCTAAGTTCTTCAGCAGTGGCTGCGCCCCAGGACTGGAGCCCAGCTCTCCATTGTGCCGACAGTGCAAAGGCAGCGGCCAGACCGTGGGAGATGAAGCCAAGTGCAAAGCCAGTGCCAATGAGCAGTACTATGGCTACACTGGAGCCCTCAGGCACAGCCAAACACATGACATCAATATCTTGATTTAAATTTGATGAATTTCCTTTTCACAAAGTGTTCTGTGTATCATTTCAGATGTCTGGCTGAGGATGCAGGAGATGTTGCCTTTGTTAAACACACGACGGTTCTTGAAAGCAGCGACGGTAGGAAGCTGTTTTATACCATCAATCTGCAGCGTTCTCTCATGTACAACTCACACGTCCATCTGAACGGTGTCACTGGTTTGTAAATTGTTGTTCTAGCTGACAGCTACCGGCTGATCTGCCCTGGGAAGGATCCAGTCCCAGTTAGTGAGTACCAGACTTGTCACTTGGCAAGTGTGCCAGCGCATGCTGTGGTGACTCGTCCAGAGAGCCGCAGCGAGGTGGTCCGCATCCTCCATGACCAGCAGGTCAGTGATCTGTTTTAAGGTTGCTTTAAATGTTTTAATAACTTCTTCTGGACATTTTTTTGTGTGGGGAAAATACCAAACCCCAGATTTAAATTCTTTAATTCTGCTTGGATGTGGTTCTAAAGTATGTTTCTGTGCAGACTAAGTTCGGAACCAGCGGAAGCGACCCCACATTCAGACTTTTCCAGTCTGAGAATGGAAACAACCTCCTCTTCAAGGACTCCACCAAATGTCTCCAGGAGGTTGCATCTGGAACTTCTTATAGCCAGTTTTTGGGACAAGAATACATGTCAGCCATGTCTGGACTCAGACAGTGCACTGAAACAGCTTCAGGTTTGTGCTGATCACAATTTAGTAACAAAAAAAATGTTTTTTATACCCTTTAAAGCATTTTTCTGCTCTGCATTTTCCAAAAAGTTTTTCTTTTTCTTTTTCCCATCAGATCTGGAGAAATCTTGCTCTTTCCATTCCTGTCAGCAGGACTAAAGGAGCAGTGGATGGGTGCAGCACCTCGGTCTGCTTGCTGATATTTACCCACACTTTCCTACACTTGATGACCCGCAATTCATTGAGTTTCATCCAAAAAATATGATACTTTTGTATTCCAGTTTTTGTTCAACAGGCAACTTTCAAATCACTAATCACACAATCATTAATGTTTTAATGACTTAGAAAAAGTTACACTTCCTTTGTACTGTTTAAAAATACCTGCCTTTTCTCAAATAAAGCCTTTCAAATGCTCCTTTATGTGGATTGTGTGGTTTCTTTCTTTCAGCTCATACACCTACAAATGTAATAAAAAGTAAATGAAATTTTTAAAAATTCCACAACAAAATTAGAAATTAAATAACAAATAGAAAACATTTTTAAAAATATATGAGGAAAATGCAAAACAATGACAGAAAAAGGTAAAGAATAAAAATATTTTAATCTAATGCATCAGCATATTAACATATTTGATGATGCAGTTTATCTGAATGAATGTTTTTGTTGGCCATTTCACTTCTCCATAGTTCTTGATGCAGATCACAGATGAGAAAATTGACCTAAAACATGTTTTGAGGTGTTTATTCTGTTTTAGATGTTTTAATAGTTTTTAGGGTATTGTTACCTATTTATAGTTTGAATTTATTTAATTTTCATACAGTAATAATAAGGTCCCTGAACAGCATCTTATTGATAACACTTTATTATTTCTATCCAAAGTTATCCTTAATGGGACAGTGCACTGTAAAATCTGATTAGTTAACCTCACTTGAAAAAAGGATAAGAATTGACTGCACTTAAAATAATAAGTACACATGAGTAGAAAATCATGTGTTGGAGCCACTAATCTGCACAATGTAAAATGCACTTAAATGCAGGTATTAGCCTAGAATCTAGACCATCATTTGACGAACCAAAATAATTTTGCTTTGCGTGTCAGTCTAGCAACGCTCCATTAGAACCTTCGCAAACCTGGCCAGTATTGTGGCTGTCCAATCACAGTGCGATTATTTATGAAAACAATGCATTTTCATCTTCTTCCAGGCTTCTTCCACTATGTATGGCAGACAGCATTGGTATCCCTATTGGTCCAATCACAGAGCTCTACTGGTTAGGTGAGCCAATCACAGCACTGAGTTTTATTTGTTGTTTTATTTTAGTTGTGATCAGTTAGCAAATTTCGATGAGCATTGTACTGGTTATTTAATGGCTCCAATGCATAATAACCGTTTCCTGTGTGCTTATTATTTTAAGTGTGTTAACAGGTTTTGTGGGCCTCACATTTCAGTAACAATGTGTACCCCCTCCCCCTTCATTTATTTATTTTGTGTGAGACATTTTGGACACCTTTTGTTGATGCTTTGCCCTGCTTTTATGTTGTAAATGAATGGTAATGTGCATCAAACCATTGGCTACTCTTCCTGTCTCTGGGACTCAATTTGTGTTTGTGGGACAGTGTTGTCAAATTGTGACGTGCTTTATTGTCATTTAGTTTCCTTTTTTATTATAAGTTTTCATTTGTTGTCATCTTATGCAGTTCTGTGTATGTGCATTTTTCATCGTTTTCTTTTGGAGTGTTTAATTTTTTTGACACTGTAGGCCCTATCTTTGGTTTAGCCATAGCTTTATGAATAGTGAGGAGGAGATTAAAAGTAGTGCTGTCATGAAATTTTTATTTTTTTAGATTTATTAATTATGACAATTCAATTCAATTCAAAAATACTTTATTAATCCCAGAGGGAAATTGATTGCTGTAGTTGCTCATAATAATAATAATAATCAAGTCGTCAAAGAGTTATTGTATATTACAATGGCTGTTGGCAGGAAGGATCTCCAGTAGCGGTCAGTGTTGCAGCGAAACTGAAGAAGCCTCCGACTGAAGACACTCTTCCGTTCCATGCTGTAGTTCTTTTGTAAAACACAGAACAGTTTCGTTACCTGTTTTCCCGCTACATTTCGTTTGCGGCTGCAACTTCCTCAGGCTCTGAGTTGGAAGCAGTTGGATGATGGCATCTTCAACTCCAACTCCATGGAGATAAGCAAACTGCACCGGGTCCTGATATGTCCTTAGCCCTTTTCAGATAGACATTCTGGAACATTTGTGGACAATTCAATCCGGTTTTTAACCGGAAGTGTGTTTTCAGACACACCACTTTTGTACCGGAACTTGTCCTTTCGGCTACGTTCACACAGCAGGGAAAAGTTCCAGATGAAGAAGAAGAAAATATAATTTCTATAGCGCCTCTCAAGATAAAAATCACGAGGCGCTTAAGCATAATTCTGCGCACACGAAGACGCATAAGAGACCAGGATGATGAAGCTCAGTGGTTAAAGGAATCACTGAAGCGGTGTGAAGCGCTCCGTCCCGCATCTAGGCGGTACCGTAGGAGGCGAGCTGCGTGGTTCGCCGCATGCTACAGGAGCGGGCTATCTGGGTGCGCACAGCGTCCCCGGTCCCCTCCTCCTCCCCCTCCCCCTTGTCCGGAACTTTACCTCACTAGTCTGAAGCAGCCACCCTGTCTGTAACAAGTCCGGACCTGTTACTAGGGGCTTCGTCCGGTAAAATTCCGGAACACGTTATCTGGATGTTTGTATTCAGACACAAAGGTCTTACGGACAGAGTCCGGAACATTTCCGTTTTTCATGGCCTGTCTGAAGGGGACTCTTGTTTGCTTATTCAGGTGGACCGACAGGAGTCTCTCCAGGACCTTCATGATGTGGGATGTCAGGGCAACCGGTCTGTAGTCGTCATTGACTGATGGGCGAGTTTTCTTTGGAACTGGAACAAGGCAGGATGTCTTCCACAGGACTGGAACCTTCTCCTGGGCCAGGCTGAGGTTGAAGAGGTGCTGCAGAACCCCACAGAGCTGCCCTGCACAGGCCTTCAGTACTCTGGGGCTGACACCATCTGGACCTGCAGCCTTGTTCCTGTTTCATTTCTCCAGCTGCCTCTTCACCTGACTTCAGATTTATAGAACCAGAAGAGTCCATGACTGCGTTAGAGGACAAAAGAGCTGGCGTGTGACAGGAAAATGTTGGATCAGAGGAGAATGGGATGTCTGATTGGCTGGGGACAGGCGAGAAGGATGCTGGGTTTGTTCCTGAACTGAACCTATTGAAGAACTTTTTCAGTTCATTGGCTGTGTCCAGGCTGCCATCTGTGCAATCCTTCCTCTGCTTGAAGCCTGTGATCTTCTTCATCCCTGACCAGACATCTCTGATATTGTTCCTCTGTAGTTTGTTCTCAAGCATATTCCTGTATGCCACCTTGCTGTCTCTGATCTTGATCTTCAGTTGCTTCTGTATACTCCTCAATAATTCCATGTCTCCCTCCTTGAAGGCTCTTTTTTTCTCATTTAGCAGATTCTTCAGTTCACTGGTGATCAAGGGTTTGTTATTGGCGAAGCATCTTACTGTTCTGGTGGGTATGATGTTCTCTACACAGAACTTTAAATAGTGAGTGACACATCAAGTCATGGCATTGATGTCCTCTTCATATCCTTGGCAGAGAGTCATCCAATCTGTAGTCTCAAAACAATCCTGCAGGGCTTCTTCAGCGTCCTGTGACCATTTTCTCACAGGTCTTCTTGTCACAGGTTGCCTCTGAACAAGTGGTTTGTATTCTGAGGAGAGAAAAACAAGATTGTGATCTGATTGTCCTAGAGGAGGTCTTGTTCTGGACATGTATGCATTCTTTACATTTGCATAACACAAATCCAATGACTACGTTTACATGCAGCCAATATCCGGGTTATGATCGGGTTAAGGTCGGTTTTCGGGTTTCTGAGTTGATCGGGATAACCCGTTTACAAGCAAGAGGCAACCCTAATTTGCATAACCCGTTTTCAATGCGGACTTTGGGGTAGCGTCAGGACGTATGGACAACGTCAAGACGCAGTATGCGTCATTTCCAGGTCATCTTGTTCCGGTATCCGTGAAAACAACAACATGTTTCCCAGTTCGGAAGAGATAGCGAGCGCGTTTGTTTGCGCTTTATTGCTGGTATTGACCCACCGGCAGCTCTTACAACGACTGGGCGTACTGGCCTTCATTCGAAGGAGAGTACATGAGGAAGAAATTGCAAATATAGAGCTGCGCTAAACATATCCAACATATTGACGGTACCCGTTACCACCAGAGCCCCGCGGACACTTTGGATGAAGGTGCGCAGCCAGGACTAGTGGGAACTGGTTGTAATGATGGAGTTCACGGACACGGAATGGCGTGAGAATTTCCGTATGTCACGTCAATCTTTTGCTAAACTTTGTGGTATGATGGAAAGAGTGATGGAGCCCAGTGTAGTAACCATCCGCACACCAGTGCCTACAGAAATGCGCGTTGCCATGGTGCTGTATAAACTAGCAAGCTGTGCAGAGTGTCGTTTGATAGCAAACCAATTTGGAGTGCACAAGAGCACCGTGAAGAAGATGGTGTACCTATTCTGCCACGGAATGGTCGACTCAAGTCATCAAAACACTGATCCGGGTACCCACTTTGGAGGAGGCATGTGGCATTGCACAAAGATTTGAACGTGCCCACTCCATTCCTCAAATCATAGGTAAAATATTTCCTGCTCTTATGTCTTGTTAATGTCAGTAGTTTTCTGAGTAGGCTAAATGTGAACTATACTATGTATGTAGGCTACACTGCTGTGTGCATACTTTTTCGTTTTTTTTTTTTTACTTTTTATCATAGGTTGTGTGGATGGGAGCCACATCCCTTGCTTGCCTCCAAGTGATGGCTACAGAGACTTCATAAACAGGAAGGGATGGCCATCCTATGTCCTCCAGGGAGTCTGTGATGACAAATACTGGTAGCTGTTTTGCCATTCCCAGCTTTTGTATTCATGATTATGATTTGTATATAATGTTGACAGACACACATCACTAAGCTATATTAGAACCACTCACAAACATCAGTTGAGAGGTTCTCTGTTCAAAAAAACATCAACAGCTTATATGTACAAATAATTATGTCATTACTGACCTGAAATAATTTTCCTAACTTTTTGCCACTAATCACACCGCTCCCACTACATCTTGATTCACTGTGATACATTTTCCATAGTTTTTGGAGTGTGAGCTGCAAAGTGCCTGGTTCAGCACAACGCCAATGCACTCCGCCAGTCCAGTCTGTTCAACAACGCACAATCCTTCCCAAAGGTGGGTAATGCATTAAAACTTTTGGTATTTAAATGCAAGTTGCACACCTGCCACATATCTAAGATGCATTATGACATAATTTAGGAAGAATAAT